GTCTGTGTTTCATACCTATACGAGGTCAGCTGCAGCACCAACACAGATTTGAATGTTCCTAGGCTACAGGCGAATCGATGTCATTTAGGAATAAGGTTGCGTCAGTGTTTCAGTGGAGATCGCAATCTTTTAATGATTAACTGTGCAGTAAATATAGTGTAATACTTATATTACAAATATAGAATACAATATATATATATATAAGGAGCCTAAATAAAATATAATAAATACAAGTATAATAAATATAACAATATATTATATATAACAAACGCATACTATCAATTAACAACCTCAGATAGTTACAGTAAGTCTACTTACAGTACACCTGTCTTTAACGGTTTATACATTTTTGTAAAAAAAAAAAAAAAAATCCCTATGGAGAAAATGAAATACTTTGATAATAGTTTCAGTTATGACTTTCAGTTATTTTTTCATTTGATTTAGCCTAGTTTTGTATTAAATACAATGTGATATTCAGGGATAAAGATATGGCAGAAACACATTCCTCCATTTTTCCGCTTAGTGAGAGATTTACGGACAGCTTTGTCCACTTGTGATGAGATTGACCAAAATCTTAATACCAGGTGTAAACAGGGCCAGAGTGTTACCCCTGTCGGCATCTGTTGCCTTTGTTCGGCACTTGTTTACACTGATGGAACACATTCAGTTGGTGTTTTTTCTAGAGAAGTGATGTAGTGTAATCTGTCTGAGAGGCCTACCCTGTACCTGGTGCACCACAACAGTAAACAGTTTGAATGTTTCCCTTATCTGACACGCGCATTTTAGGTTTTCTAATAAAAAGCTGATAAGGAAATCAAACATAATGTGCGTTGTTGAAGGTATTCAAGGATCATGGTTGGGAACCCATGATAATTGTACATAAAATAACTGCTGGAGGTATCTTGCTAATTTTACATTAATATGATAATGACAGAATTAACCTTTAGCACATTGATTACAAATAGCTGTTTGATGTCTGTTGCTTTTTTGTTATTAAATTGGGGTTAACTTTTTCACCTTTCAGACCTGATGCCGCTTAAAGAGGAGAGTCAAGAACCGGAGAAAGATCAGAATAAGAAACATGATTTCATAACTGAAGAAAAACTTTGCTCACAGCCTGAAAAGCCTTCCTCGCAGACAAGAGGTGAGGAGACGGGATCTAAAAGATCTTTTGCCTTCGAACAGTGTGGAAACTTTTTCTCTACAGCAGGAAACCTTAAAATCCATATGAGGATTCATACTGGAGAGAAGCCTTACACATGTGATCAGTGTGGAAAGAGTTACGCACGAAACAATACCTTAAAGGATCACATGATGGTTCACACTGGAGAAAGACCTTTCGAATGTGATCAGTGTGGAAAGAGTTACATACGTAAAGACGCCCTTAATGTACACAAGAGAACTCACTCAAGAGAGACCCGTTTTATTTGCCATCAGTGTGGAGCGAGTTTCATGTCTTTGGAACGCCTTAACAGGCATGTAATAATTCACTCTGAAGAGAAGCCCTTCAAATGTGAACAATGTGGAAAGGGGTTCAAAATAAAAAAGGATCTAAAGAGACACATGATATGTCACACTGCGGAGAAGCTTATTAAGTGCTATCAATGTGGAAAGTGGTTAAAACATGAAGGATCCCTTCATTACCACATGAAACTTCACACTGGAGAGAGGCCTTTCCCCTGCCCTCAGTGTGAAAAGAGTTTCATCCTAAAAGGACACCTTAAAAATCACATGAGAGTTCACACAAGACTGAATGTTTTGAAATGCAATCAATGTGGAAAGTGTTTTACAGACAAGAAACAGCTTAAAATGCATAAAAGTACTCACCCCAAAGTGAAGCCATTCCCCTGTCCTGAGTGTGGAAAGAGTTACACACTTAAAGGAAACCTTAAGACTCACATGAGGATTCACACTGGAGAAAAGCCGTTCACCTGTTCCCAGTGTGGAAGGAGTTGCATACATAAAGGACACCTTAATTGTCACATGAAAATTCACAAAAGAGGGAACGATTTAAAATGTCAGCGGTGTGGAAAGAGTTTTACAGACAAGAAACATCTTACAAGGCATATAAAGATTCACAGAGGAGAAAAGCCTTTCATGTGCCATCACTGTGGAAGAACTTGTACAAGCAAAGCGAACCTTAAAGTTCACATGCGAATTCACAGTGGAGAGAAGCCTTTCAGCTGCCCTCAGTGTGGAAAGAGTTTCACACATAGAGGAAATCTTACGTCTCACATGAGAATTCACACTGGAGAGAGACCTTACAAGTGTCTTCAGTGTGAAAAGAGTTTTTCTTATTCAACACAGCTGAAAATTCATATGCAAACCCATTCTGAAGAGAAATCGCAGTGTTCTGAGTGTGGCAAGAGGTTTGCAAAGATGAGCAATTTCCAAAATCATCTGCGCATTCACTCTGGACTAAGGCCATTTAATTGTAATCGGTGTAATAAAACATTTATTTTGCCATCACACTTAGAGATACACCTGAAAAGTCATGCAGACAAAAGACCCTATTTGTGTTCTCGGTGTGGAAAGAGTTTTAAATGGCTCTGCGATTTAAGATCGCATCGGAGATTTCATGTCTGTGTGAAACCTAATTCCAGAGCAAGCTACTTGAAAAGAAATCAAATCTATACTGGAAAAAAACCTGACAATGTTGTACATAGTAACAAGTGACTTTTGTGGCGTCCATGTGATGGTGCCTTGATTGTGTTAAATTTGCTGCTCTTTGTCTTTTGTCCCAACACACTATGATAAGCCTATAGTTTTTAATACAATTTTGATATAACAACATTTTGAAATTCCTAAAAAGTCCATTGAAGAAAGTAAATTCCATTTTTACATTATTTGCATCTCTGTAAACAGAAAACTGTCCTACTATTGTGTGTGTGTGTGTGTGTGTGTGTGTGTGTGCGTGCGTGCGTGCGTGCGTGCGTGTGTGTGTGCGTGCGTGTGTGTGTGTGTGTGTGTGTGTGTGTGTGTGTGAAAGAGAGAGGCTATAATGGACTTATTTTCAGTATGCTGAATTTTCTTTATAACTTTTCTTTTGTAGCTTACCAAAATAACCTAAACTCGTATATGAACTAATTTGGCCAATCAGGAAAAGATGATATACGGTTGAAATGAACAAGACTTTGAATTTCTGTCATAACCATGGTCATGCTTGGAAACAATGGTTTAAAATAAATACTGTAAATCTTTTTTTTATTGTCATTTATTGTCACTTCGCATTCAACTTTGTGATAAAATAAATGCATGTTTTTAAAATTTAGACCACTCATGTATTGCGGCATGTAAAGAATTGATGATGAGTTTCTGAAACAGTATTTCGGCTATCTTAGAAATATTAGGAAATGGGTTAATGCAATCAACAGTATATGAGGAATTGTTTAATTGTTTTTATTTTAAAAAAGACAGGAATAATGGATGGAATATAAATGGTTTTTATTTATTTTTACTTTCCTTTTATTTTCTCTTATCCCTTGCGCAGATTTTGCTCATCTCAAACAAGCCTATTAGGAAAATATGAGATACGGATGTGCGTCACATTACATTAATAAAATAAGTTAGTAGCCTATCCTTGATTGGTTTTTGAATACATAAATCAAATAGTGTAAAAATACATTTCAGAGAAAGTTTTTCTCAATCTTTTCCACTGGCCAAATAGTATTTTTAATTGATTTATATTTTTAGTGGAAACAGGCCTTTGTTGTGCATTATTTGCAGGAAACTATTTTCTCAGACAATCTGCTATTATCATGATAAGGAATTCTCTGTAGTTAAAACATTAAAACACAGCATGCCAGAGGAAACGAGTTCAAAAGCATTACATACACAACAAATATTTATATTTATTGAATATATATCTTTTTTTGTAACTTCTCAGTAATGATTTCATGTAGGCCTAGTTTAAGTGTTTAACTCCAATAATGAGAATGGCATATTTCATCTAAATGTTTATAAATCATAATTTTTTTATTCAAACTGTTATTGTGAACATGCACTGTAGCCTATTTATGATTAGGACTTAATTAATTTGCCGTTAGTCTATATGTGCGTCAGTTTCACTAAACGGCCCAACATGCTCGCTGGCGCGGACATTTAAGAAGGGATGGCTATTTGCTTCAAGTGATAGGCTTGGTGAGTGAAATTATATTTGTATTATCTTGCTGTATATGTATAATTTTCTTTAGATTTTCTGTCTAAAAGTGACCAAAAATACATTTAACTCCAGCTCCCCATCGGTCTCGCCAAACTGCTCCAAAACGTTCGTACGCATGGCATGGGTCAGAGTTTGCGTGCAGGTGCACACATTTTCTCGTCAAGTTTGTTTTTATAAATCACAACTTATGCGTGTGAATAGGTACGCCTCTTTCAGTGCCTGTTTTGTGCGTACGTAACGATTATAAATGAGGCCCCAGATGTTTTCCTCACCCTTTCATTAGTAGTTTTTATCAACACAATCAGATGACAACATTTTGTTTTTAAATGCATAATTCTAGAATTCACTTTACATTTCCGCTCTGAATTACATATATTGTTATTTGTATACAGTCTTTTATGTACACGTTCTGTGATTTTAGGCAGTATATGTGTACAGGACTTTTATTTTGTCTGGTGTTATGACATCATAAGGCTGCACCGCTCTCCTCTGGCCCAACAAAGGTTTGAGTTTTTGAACGCTTAAATATTTGAGGTGTTTAAATTGATACAAATCGTTCAATATACTCATAGTTTTTACAAGTAATGTGAAATGAATGGATTATTGTGTGAGGTGTCGTGTGATGCTTTACAGTTCAAGTTTTCAGTTATTGGCCGTTTTCCCGTCTCTTCAGAAATTATTATTTAATCATATTACACCCATTTTATTTTATAGTTTGTCTGAAAACCGAACTAAAGCATTACATTAACTGGTAGGTTGTCTCGTAAATCGCTCTTTTAAGATTGTTATCTGCAAGTGCATTAATATGAATAAAGTTCGAATTTATCTTTTTTTTTTTTTTTTTTTTATTGATTGTTTTCCTCATTTTAAACATGGGAAATGTCCAAACATACAGGAACAAGAAACAATTGGTGAAACCTGAGAGATCCATGTGACAGTTTTCCAAGATGGCATTTATTAAAGAGGAGACCGAAGACATAAGAATTGCAGAACCATTCAGAGTGAAACATGAAGATACTGAGGAACAAAAAGGTTGGTTTTCAAATGTGAACTCAGATACTTATTTTTCCTTTTTAAAATGTTGACATGTAAGCAAATAATTTTCAAAAGTCATGTAAATTGACAATCTGAACATATGAAGAATTATTAAAGAATATGAAGAATCAAGTCATGAGTGCCACAATTAAAGCTGATTAGCTAAAAAAAAAAAAAAAAAAATCTTAATGTCATCATCACAAAATCTGTTATTGTGTCATCACCAAATCAATCATCATGATAGGCACTGTGGAATATGGGGTTAAATCCATGCTTTTTGAAAAGATAAATGTAAATTTACAAGATGTAGAGCACTTAGTGTTGTCACAATACCAAAGTTTAGGTAGTCTGTGTCAATACCAGTTTCAGTATAGCAAAAAACTATTAAACTGTAATGATTTTATTTTTCCAATTAAAAATGAAATAAAAATACTTGAGTTACTTATTAATGCTAATATAATAAGTAAATAATACATTAAAGGTAGCCTAGTTCCCCCTAAAATAAAAATTAAATCATAAATTACTCACCCTGGTGTTGTTATTATGCCAATCTTTCTTTTATGGACAACAAAAGGAGAATAAAAAAAAGAATTCCTGCTCGCACTCGTCCATATAATGGCAGTGAATAGCGACCAGCATCAAGCTTTTTAAAAAAGACGCAAACGTATCACAGAATGCGACACGTGTCTTACATTCCAAGTGTTCCGAGGGTTTACAGTATGAAATTTAAAGTTTTAGTTAACGAAAAATCCTGACCTTTGCCGTTGGTCTTCAGTGCACAGCTCTGCAAAGTGCGCATTCGTGTGACTCTTATTAGCATCGCAGTTCACTCCGTCAAAAAAAGCACACAAGTTGTGAGCAAAATCAAAACACAAATCAAGATTAACAGAAACGCGACATGAAATAAAGAAGTCCCAAAAAAGTATCCGTGTATGCTACTTTCTTCACTGAGTTAAATATCTCCGGACTGGAACTCAGTTTGTCTGATGACAGTCAGAATGATAGTTGATGGATGTGAACATGATAACTTCTTGTTACGATGAACGGAGCAGATATATTCACCTCAGAGAAGAAGGAACATGGATTGTATTTGTCTCGTGTTTGTTAATCTTGAATTCTCACTACTTTTTCTGGGTGAGACGGAGTAAACTGTGGTGCTAATAGAGCCTCAAGATTGTGGAATGTCTGAGAAGTGGTGTAATTGGCTGAGAAGCCAACCCTGGTCCTGGTGTAACACAACAGTAACACAGTTTGAATGAATGTTTCCCTTATCTGGCACGCACATTTCAGGTTTTGAAGTTTCTAATAACTAGCTGATGAATTGAATCAGGAGTCCAAAAAAAAAAAATCAAACACATAAGTTGGTTATGGTATTGGTTGAAGGTATTCGAGGATCAGGATGTGGAAACCCTGATCTAAGGCTACGTTCAGACTGTCAGTCCAAATCCGATTTTTTGCATATCTGATTGAAATCCGATCAGAATTAGCTGATGTAAACAGCAAAAAATCACATGTAATGTGTTTCAAGCTACAGTGCATCCATATGTGGTTTGAAATCCAATTCAAATCGCATTTCTGGAAATCCGTTTCAGTCTGACTGCTCTGATCAGATTTCGCTTGGTTTATGTGACTTTCTCACGCCATGTAAAATGTAAACGTCAGACATTGTTATAGGAAACATGCTGAAATAATGGTGTGTTTGACAATATGCAAACAATGACAATATGACATATTTTGAAACTGGCGGAGACAACAGCGCTGAAAAAAGCTGTGCATACCAACCTCCGGTTCTGTCGCTCGCTGCCTCAGAAGACGGGTAGTCCAGCGTGGCGGCTACACATTTCCATGTTTAAAATTGAAATTAGACAACGTCTCTATTGCAAACCCCTCCATGTTGCGGTTGTTATTGTTTTTGGCGTATGCCTACCAACGCAACGTCATTGCCATAGAGACCAATGCAGATATTCTGGAAAAAGAAAGAGCTGCATGGACACACAAATCGGATCTGAACAGTTGCGATACACAGTGTGGACAGCAATAATTTTAGATCAGATTCCAATCGGATACACAAATAATCGGATTTGGACTGAGAGTGTAACCGTAGCCTAAATCATTCTTAGAGCCCCCCAGACACTGCACACTTTACATGTCTTCTTAATCAAACACACCTGATTCAGGTCATCAGCTCATTATTAGAGACTCCAATGCTGTGTTTGAAATCGCCCCCTATACCCTCATTCGCTATTACCTACATTACTCCACTAATATAGTAGTCCACTTGAAGGAGTTGATGAAAACGAGTGAGTGAATTTGGACACTGAGTGCGCCGGAAGGGCTGCCGATTTTGCATAGTTTGTGCTTGCTGTTTAATAATAATCATTTGAAACAGCAAACTGGCAGATCCAGTCGTAATGAAAAGATTTATATTAAACTCTGTCATGGAGACTAGCATATAAACCTTAATTAAATAATTTAATAACTAATTAAAAAGGAATTTATACCTGTATGATAACACTGGACCAGCGCGGATTGGAAAATAGATGGACGATTTGATTCAAGCTGTAGGCGCCATCTCCTGGCGAGACGTGGGAATTCATTCAGTGCGTGACTATCACAGTGCATTATGGGTGTTCTCTAGCCGTTGAGCCCACATCGGTTGTACACTCGTTATTGCTGTGCATTGTGGGATTGAATGAGTGCACTCAATAACGTCCATTTTGGTTTCGGACACCTACAAATGGCTGTCCTCTCAAATAGTGCCCTATTTAAGGGTATACGGGGGCGATTTCGGACACAGCCCAAGACCTGAAATGGGTGGCAGACAAAGGAGACATATTACATGAGTCTCATTCAGCTCCCTAGCTCCTGAGCTCGTGAATCAGTATATCGTGTACTTGAATTCAGGCACTGGTAAGGATGGTAAAGGACCCTGGCTCACTACACATTGGGACATTAATGCTGTTTCTGGCAACCTGACAACATCCTACTGGTATTTATGAACAACAGCAGAACTGATCTTTCTGACATTATTTTTTAATATAATTTAAAGTACATTATGATTAATACTTGTTGTTACATATACCTGCAACATTTCAGGTGTAAATACATTATAAATGTTAGCAAGATTATGTTCATTAACTGTTTAGTGATGATTGTTTGTGCTAAAACGGCTGGGAACCCCTGATCTAAATTGTCATAAAATAACTGCTGCGGGTATCTATACTTGCTAATTTCCATTAATAGGATGACAGAATTAACCTTTAGCACATTGAATACAAATAGTTGTTTGATGCCTGTTGCTTTAAGAAAATGTGGTTAACTTGAATTTTTCTGTTTTCACCATTCAGACCTGATGCCGCTTAAAGAGGAGAGTCAAGAACTGAATGAAATGGAGGAGACACAATTGTATGAGAAACATGATTTCATAACTGAAGATAAACTTTGCTCACAGCCTGAAAAGTCTTTCTCACAAAAAAGAGGCGAGGAGACGGGATCTAAAAGATCTTTCACCTGTCAACAGTGTGGAAACTCGTTCACTACAGCACAGAACTTTAAATACCACATGAGAATTCACACTGGAGAGAAGCCTTTCACATGTGATCAATGCGGAATGAGTTTCATACGTAAAATCACCCTTGATTTCCACATGAGAATTCACTCAGGAGAGAACCGTTTTATATGCCATCAGTGTGGACAGAGTTTCACGTCTGTGAAACGCCTTAACATTCACATGATAATTCACTCCAGAAAGAGGCCCTACGAATGTTTCCAATGTGAAAAGGTGTTCAAATTTAAAAAGGACCTCGTAAGACACATGAGAAGTCACACTGAGGAGGGACCTTTCAAGTGCCATCAATGCGGAAAGGGTTTAAAACATGAAGAATCCCTTGCTTTCCACATGAAGATTCACACTGGACCTTTCAACTGCAATCAGTGTGGAAAGAATTTCATACATAAAGGACAGCTTAATGCTCACATGAGAGCTCACAAAAGAGAGAACGATTTGAAATGTACTCAATGTGGGAAGATTTTTACAAAGAAGAAACTCCTTAACATTCATAAAAATGCTCACCCCGAAGAGCAGCATTTCCCCTGTCCTGAGTGTGAAATGAGTTTCACATCTAAAGGAAACCTTAAGACTCACATGAGGATTCACACTGGAGAGAGACCTTACACCTGGGAAGATTTTCATACATAAAGGACACCTAAAGTGTCACATGAAAATTCACAAAAGAGGGAAAGATTTAAAGCCCGGGACACTTGCGGGTCGGTCGCCTGTGGATGAGAGATCAATCATTAAGGTTTTTTATTTTCATAAAGACACTGAACTTGGTAAAATGCAACAAACGTGTGCCACTCTTTTACTTTTTCCAACAACGCATATCTCTTCAACAACAATGCAAGTTAAATTTAGATCATACACAAGCTTAACAGAAATTATTCTAATAAGTGTTTTCCAACATTATGATGGAAATATTGACGTGTGTAAAGCTTAATTATCATCAGGCTCTAATTTGCATACTCTCAAGCAGCAATGGAGGCAAAACATATCGGAGACAAATTTCAAAAAGTAGAATTAAAGAACTAAAGGAAAGAAAAGTACCGTGAAACAGGATGTATCAAGTGCTGATATGTGATATGTAACAATGTGAAGCGCTGACAATAAACTAATAATATCCAGCCTTTGCTTGTGCTCTTTGGGAAGTTGCAGTGATGGAAACAGTGACAATTTCTTTTGAAGGAGTAAAGCCATATCATGATTACTGCTGAGATTTTGAATACTTAGTTGTAATGTGACGATCAGGTGCAGATATCTAAATCAGAGAAAATCATAGGCTTGGGTGGGTGGCAGGTGGATGATTTCATTTTAACATTAAATTCGGGTGAGTTTAAAGCTGATGCGTCTCTGATCCACAGTTCTATCTCTTCTGGTTTCCCTTTTTAACTCTTTTCCCACCATTGTTTCCATTAAGCAGGCACAGAAGAAGGACACAACTCTGCCATAAGGCTGTCGGATAGTCTGTGTGCCTGTGCGGTGTGTTCAAAGTTAACGTACACATTTGTGACCAAAACAAAAAATGTGGATCCTTCAAATGTTTAATAAATTGCAAATAATGGCTAATATGCCCTTAGAGTATGCTAAGTTAATCATTAATTACTAGTGTGTTCATGCTTAACTAATGTATTATTGTGGACAAGTTAATCATTAATTACTATTTAATGCATAATTCTGGACCCTCAAAATAAAGTGTTACCAAGGAAGTCAATGGCAGAAATTTGAAATGTGTTACTAGTAACAATAGAATAGTTAGGTCTCACTATTGAAATTAGTACTAGTATCTAATGAATACGTACTGCACTATCTGTATACTGTAGAAGTACTAGTCTCTATTTAATAGGTAGTATCTAATGGCTAAGTGTCTATTTAAGAGGTACGAGTATCTAATGAATAGGCCTAAGTACTAGTATCTTTTAGAAAGGCACTACCTAAAGAAGAGAATATGGTTACATAGTTGTCAGTACATGTCAGGCTTTTCTCTGGGTTATACTAGTTGGTTACAAAATTTCAGTTCAAACGATAATGAAATTAGTCATTGCACAGATGCCTACTCCATGCCCTTTAGGGCTCCGTAAAACTTCAGTCATGGCACAGGGAAGGAAACTTTTTTTTATTATTATTTCATTTCTACTTAGCATTCAATATTATAATATATATCAAATAATGCATGTTCTATAACTTAAAGTTCAGACCACCCCTGTCTCACAGCATTAAAATAATTGTTGACTGTTAATGATAATTATTGAGTGCCCTTAGTTGTTTTCGGGGTATAAATGGTTTCTTCACCAAAACGTAAAAATATTGCCTTTAGACAAAATCTAGAATTTCAGATATGGTGCTCACTCGATCATTAGTAGCCTAGTTTTTATATTTTCAGCACATCATCTGACAACATTTTGTTTTTAAATACGTAGGCTAATTCAAGAATTCACTTTACATTTCCACTCTGAATGTCGTTGACATAATATTTGTATGTAGTCTTTTATGCATGTACATTTTTAAGCACTTTCTGTGATTTTAGGCAGTATATGTGGATGGGACTTTTATTTTGGTCTGGTGTTATGACATCATAAGGCTGGACCGTTCTCCTCTGGCTCAACAAAGGTTCGAGTTTTTGAACGCCTATGCATTTGCTGCGTTTAAATTGATACAAATCGTCAAATGCATTAGTAATATGTAAACGAATTATTATGTGTGGTGCCGTGTTCAGTTCGGCTTTCAGTTAATGGATAATTGCCGTTTTTCTCTTGTCTTTCAATTTTCCTTTTTCTAAATCGTGACTTCAGTAATGATTATTTCATTATATTACACCCGTTTTATTGTTATATGTTTGTGTTTGAAAACTGTACTGTAAGACATTGCATGAACCGTGATCGTGTGTCTAGTAAATTGCTCGTTTATGATTGTTATTTGTCTGTGAGTAAAGTGCATTTATACGCGAGTAACATATAAGCTTTGGGTTTATATTTTATATTTCTTTTTGTTAATTGTTTCCTCATATTAAACATGACAAAATGTCCAAACATGCAGGAACAAGAAACAGTTTTCAAGATGGCATTTATTAAAGAGGAGACTGAAGACATAAGTATTGCAGAACAATTCAGAGTGAAAAATGAAGATGCTGAGGATCATACAGGTTGGTTCATAAGTAATTTATTTTTATTATTAAAATGTTGACCTCTAAACAAAGTGATAAAAAAAATCATGATACATCTAATTAAACAGAGTGGGTCACCTCATGTGGACAGACAAAATTAGGTAGCCTAATTTAGCTAAATAATAGCTACCATTGTCATAATGGCAAATATGTTTCTTAAATAAAAATACAATTTAAAAACAATATGATGGATTGCAGGTTCATTTGTGTAGTACTCATGTTATTTATGTATTTCATTCACTCTTGAGTGAATGATGTCAAGTCCTCAGAAGTGTGTGTTTAGATATTACAAGCTGTTGACCACTGGTCCTTACTTGTTGCTCTCATCTGCTACTAATGTCCACTATCATCCCCACAGTTTGATCTAAAATTTCAGATCCAATGAATTCTCTTTAATTGTTCTTTACACAGAGTAATAGTTCTATTTAGAACCATATCATCCTGCACTCTCAGAAAAAAAGGTTACAAAAGCTGTCACTGGGGTGGTACCTTTTCAAAAGGTACACTACCTGTTAGGTTCTAACATGTAGGCTAATACAGTATGTAGCTATTAGTTAACATAAAGTACTAATATGTACTTTTAAGGTACCAATATGCACTGTTTGGGTACAGAGGTGTATCTTATGAATGGGTGCTTCCACCGTGACAGCTTTTGTAACTTTTTTCTGAGTGTCAGGAAACCTTTTATACTGAAATTAGGAGTTTGGGGGGTTCTTCATTCCTACCTGTTTTTTTTTTTATTGTTTTTTTTTATCTGTAACTTTCAAAAACTTATTTCAAAGCCATCACATTATTGATTTTCTGGAGCTCAACCATCCAACTACACAGATGGTCGACACTCTCAACAGGTATTCATTCTGATTCTTAAAATTCTGATTCTTAAAATGTCTATACATTTTAAATGTCAAATTTTAACTGGTTTCCTAGAAAACATACTGTCATTTGTTTCTTAGTTTTTAAACGGAGCACGTAAGTGTGACAAGATTGATTCAGTTGATGATACTTCTCTCCTCTTCTCCACTAAGCAAGTAAGTGACAGAGATATTGGATTTATAATCCATACTGTTAGAGGATTTTCAATTATTACTTGGGTTTATCCTTGCAAATGCCTAGTCCACATACAACATTAAATCTATCCCATGATATTTTATCTTTTTTTTTCTTCTTCATTTTAACATTACTAACTGTAGTAACACTCACAACAGCTACTTTTGACCTAATTTCTTTTAATTAAACAAATGGCAGTGTGACTAAACTCAGTTGTGTTTTTCAGACAGATGCTGTCACACCTCATCATCTGCAGAGAAAAGCTGCCACTCACTACATCAAAACACATAATGATGGACATAGAGACATCACAGATGACTGTAAAGATATTTCACAGGAACTACATTATTTTTTTCTTTTTTGTCTTTCTTTTTTGTTGTTGTTGTATTTAATCGTGTTCAGATGTTATACCATTTATTCAGCTAATAACATGGTTCATTCAAGCTGCTTAAAGTGAATTTGACTTAGACTAGGCTGTATATAATGAAATTAGTGTATTTTTTTTATCACAATTACAATCTTTTCACATAAATTTAATGCTGCAGCCCATTTGATATAGATACTGAGCCATTTTGCATGGCTATGAGCGTAGTATTGCTCACATGTTTCCAAGTATGTGATACAGCTTTCATTTTTCATGTCAATCATATATACATGAAAAAAAATCACTTTGAATGAAGAAAGCGATATCTTTGTCATAGTATCCTAGCGCTGGTCAATGGCTTGATCTCTTTGAAGTGAAGCGTCAGATTCAGCTTCACCCCTGGAGCCGCTTTGCTTGTCCTTGTTAATATTTCCAGAATGAATCTACTAACTCGCTCTTAAAGTCAGTCCCTTGCCACCACCTAATGGCGTAACTATGTAACCTCTACTGAAGTTGTTGATAAACCGCCATCAGACAGTTTCTCAATAAACAAACGCTGTACAAACCCTGTAATCACTGTTAGAGCATTGTCATTTTTTTTGTACAATTTCCTTTGTCAATAAAAAAATAAAGTACCTTATTGAAACAACTTGTTGTCAGTTTTATAAGTCCCCAATAAAGTATTATAACATCAGACAGATTTATATAATAATAATTCAAAGTAATAAACTATTCTTTCACTTTCAAAAGTATGGTTCGTAAAAAGGGTTCTGCTATATAATCCAACAATTTTGGATCAGTGATCTAAATGATCATAAAATAACTGTTGCTGGTATCTAGACTTGCTTATTTGCCATTAATAATATAATATGAATGTAGTTAATTAGCCCAAAGGGAAATATAAATAATTACTTAACTAGTTATAATTAATTAAAAATATTTACATCAGCTGTAAGAATAGCTACACTGGTTTCAGTTTGTTTATAAATGTATATTTTTTAATTATCCTTTTTATTTGAAGCAATATTTAGTTCTATATAGGTCAACTTATGGCCTGAGACACCTTGATCATCCCTTTTTTTCTGTCCCAAAAGATATCTAAAGAAATTGGAAGACGTGCTTTCAAATTCAAAGCCCCCTCAGATTGGAACAGTTTACCTTGTTCCTTAAGGTCCATCTCTTCCTTTCCACTCTTTAAGTCAGCCCTTTTAACTTATTTGCAATCGTGTGACCAATGTATATGTTTTCCTGGCATATGAGCTTTTGTGTCTCTAATGCCCTTAGTAAGAAATTATGTATGTGCATGCACGTTTGTATGCATATGTGTATATAGGTATGTATTTTTGTATTGGTATGTAAATGTATGTTATATTTGTTTGTTTTTGTAGTTTTGTCAAAAATGGTTCTCTCCTGTAATATCTTAATGTCATACTATATTGTTTATGTGAAAATGCTTTGGACAGAGGTGGGACAGGTTGTGGTGGTTGGTTGTGAAGAAGAGCATTAGTGTGTGCGAATGTGTAAGTGTTTGGTGTTATCTTGAGGACCCCCTCGAAAATGAGATGTTCCATCTCAAGGGGTTATCCTCTAATAAAATGAAATGAAAATGAATGGTAACACTTGAGTTTGGGTCCAGTTCTCACTATTAACTAGTTGCTTTTTAGCAAGCATATTACTAGGATATTGGCTGTTTATTAGTATGTATAATGCACAAAAATAATACCTTATTCTGCATGACCATATTCTACAACCCTTACCCAACACCTAAACTTAACAACTACCTTACTAACTATTAATAAGCAGTAATTAAGGAGTTTATTGAGGCAAAAGGTGTAGTTAATAGTGAGGATTGGACCCTGATCTAAAGTGTATTAGCCCGTAAGAGTTAACTTGATGTAGCATAATTAATACCACAGCTATCCTTTTCATCCAGCGAACACTCAGACTTAATAGTTTATTAATTCTAAGAAATGTTAATTTCCAGGGTATAGGAAGTAAATTTTCTTATTGTGCAGTATTACTCAGAGCATGTAGTCAAATTCTGCATGATTGGGGAATCCAGTGAATGGACGTGATCCATTTAGTTTAGATTATAGGTAAAGCACTACATTTTGTTTGTGAATGAATAATCTATCGTAAATAAATAAATGTTCTTCCTTAAAATACAGGGTGCATAATTCAGGACACCCGTATGTTAAATTCCCATAGAGGCAGGCAGATTTTTATTTTTTAAGGCCAGTTATTTCATGGATCCAGGATACTATGCATCCTGATAAAGTTCCCTTGGCCTTTGGAATTAAAATAGCCCCACATCGTCACATACCCTTCACCATACCTAGAGATTGGCATGGTGTACTTTCCATAAGATCATCTCTCAATGCAAATCAAACCAGCTATTAGGCTAACTGAAATAAAACCATGCCAATCTCTAGGTAAAGTAGACTGTTTTTTTTACATGTAGGGGAGTGTCTGCGTACAGTGCACATGATGCACATTTTGTCACCAGAATGAGCATTCTGTATGCACGCTGCCTGATGTTTGTATGTTATGATGTTACTTAGTGCCATTAAACTGGGTTAACTTGAATTATTGTTTTATTTCACCATAGACCTGGTGGTGATGAAAGTGGAGAGCCAAGAACTGAATGAAATGGAGGAGGAAGATCATCATGAAGAAACACTTTGCTCACAGACTGAACGGGCGTCCTCACAAAAAAGAGCTCGGAAGGCAGGTTCTAAAAAGTGTTACATCTGTCCTCAATGTGGCAGGAATTTCACTTATGAAAAAAGCCTTAAAAAACACGAGGCAAATCACACTGGACAATGCCCTTTCACATGCCAACAGTGTGGGAACATTTTCACTACAAACGGAAGCCTTAAAAACCACATGAGAGTTCACACGGGAGAGAAGCCTTACACGTGTGATCAGTGTGGAAAGAGTTACACACGAAGCAAGACCTTAAGGGATCACATGAGGATTCACACTGGAGAAAGGCCGTACACATGTAATCAGTGTGGGAAAAGTTACATACGAAGCAAGACCTTGAGGGATCACATGAGGATTCACACTGGAGAAAGGCCTTACACATGTAATCAGTGTGGAAAGAGTTTCGTACATAAAGTGACCCTTAATTTACACATGAAAATTCACTCCAGAGAGAACCATTTTATATGCCATCAATGTGGAAAGAGTTTCAAAGACATTGCACGCCTTAACAGGCATGTAATAATTCACTCCGGAGAGAAGCCCTTCAAATGTCACCAATGTGGAAAGGGGTTTCAAATAAGTAACAACCTTAAGGCACACATGAAATGTCACACTGAGGAGAAGCCTTTCAAGTGCCATCAATGTGGAAAGTGTTTAAAACATGAAACATCCCTTAACTACCACATGCGACTTCACACTGGAGAGAGGCCTTTCACCTGCCCTCAGTGTGGAAAGAGTTTCATTCTTGAAGGACAGCTTAGTCGTCACATGAGATATATTCACACTGATGAGAAGCCTTTCGTGTGCCATTATTGTGGAAGGATTTGTGAAAGCAAATCAAACCTTAAGATTCACATACAAATTCACACTGGAGAAAAGCCTTTCTCCTGCCCTCAGTGTGGAAAGAGTTTCATTCATAAAGGACTCCTTAATTATCACATGAAACTTCACACTGGAGAAAAGCCTTTCAGTTGCCATCTGTGTGGTATGAGTTTCAGATATAAAGGACTTCTTAATGGTCACATGAGAAGTGTGCACACCAATGAGAAGCCTTTTACCTGCCATCACTGTGAAAGGATTTGTGAAAGCAAATCAAAACTTCAGATTCACATGCGAATTCACACTGGTGAAAGGCCTTTCTCCTGCCCTTGTGGGAAAAGTTTCGCACTTAAAGGAAACCTTACGGCTCACATGAGACTTCACACTGGAGACAGGCCTTACATGTGTGTTCAGTGTGAGAAGAGTTTTGCTTATCTAAGACAGCTTAAAAGTCATCTGCAAACTCATTTTGGAGAGAAATCGCAGTGTTCTGAGTGTGGCAAGAGGTTTGCAAAGATGAGCAATTTCCAAAATCATCTGCGCATTCACTCTGGACTAAGGCCATTTAATTGTAATCGGTGTAATAAAACATTTATTTTGCCATCACACTTAGAGATACACCTGAAAAGTCATGCAGACAAAAGACCCTATTTGTGTTCTCGGTGTGGAAAGAGTTTTAAATGGCTCTGCGATTTAAGATCGCATCGGAGATTTCATGTCTGTGTGAAACCTAATTCCAGAGCAAGCTACTTGAAACGAAAGAAACAAATCCATACTGGAGAAAATCCTGACATCGTAACAAGTGACTTCCATGGGGGCCATGTGATGGCGCCTTAATTGTGTTAAACAAAGTTGCTGTGTTGTTGTGCTACAATGTGTCATGGGTGAACATTTCCAATATGCGTGAGCTTAGAATTATAAGGTTCTATCTCCACTTTTGGTCGAAATTGAGTTTTTGACATAATCTTATCCATTAGGTGTTTATTAATGCCTGTGTGGTGTTATTTTTTAAAAAAAAAAACATTTTGTTAGTAGTTATTAATAAAATAAAAAGGTTCCATCTCACAAAACAGCAGGGATGTAAAAACTTTGATGCTCAATATCTCAGAACTACCCTAAACGGAGATAGAACCTTATAATTCTAAGCTCACGTATTGTTGTAGTGAAGGTACTGTATCACTTTTTTTCATTTTGTATCACCAAGTAAATAGTTTTACTTAGTCATGGCTCATCTGTAGAGGCAAGTGGTGCAGTGCCCCATTAAAACATTCATCCACTTAAATACATAGACTTTTATATAAACTTCTATATAATCAATCCTAAATTCAACTCATAAATGTGTTCAGCATTCTGCAACAATTTTTCAGAGTTTCTAGACTATTTTTAAGTCATAAAGTGAGATGGATGTATTAAAATGTCTTGTATGGCTTAAGTTTAGTCTACATCATTTCAGCAACTAGTAAGTCTGATTGTGAACCTGTTCAGTGTTCTTTAACAGGAGGCAGGAGGATGTGTGGAGTAGTGTACTAAATTAGTGAATGTGTAAACCCTTTGCTTTAAACATGCTCATGTTAAGAAAGGCTGCTCACTGTGGAGCCGATGGTTGAAGCTTCACGTCCAGCTCTCTCTCTCTCTCTCTCTCTGGATGTAATGGGTGGAGCTAGAAGTTCCAACCACACCCTAACCTTACCCATAACCCTATCCCCTAACTTTACCCATAACCCTATCCCCTAACCTTACCCATAACCCTATCCCCTAACCTCACCCACAACCCTACCCCCTAACCTCACCCCTAACCCTATCCCCTAACCTTACCCATAACCCTATCCCCTAACTTTACCCATAACCCTATCCCCTAACCTTACCCATAACCCTATCCCCTAACCTCACCCATAACCCTATCCCCTAACCTCACCCATAACCCTATCCCCTAACCTCACCCATAACCCTATCCCCTAACCTTACCCATAACCCTATCCCCTAACCTCACCCATAACCCTATCCCCTAACCTTACCCATAACCCTATCCCCTAACCTCACCCATAACCCTATCCCCTAACCTTACCCATAACCCTATCCCCTAACCTCACCCATAACCCTATCCCCTAACCTTACCCATAACCCTATCCCCTAACCTCACCCATAACCCTATCCCCTAACCTCACCCATTACCCTATCCCCTAACCTCACCCATAACCCTATCCCCTAACCTCACCCATAACCCTATCCCCTAACCTCACCCAAAACCCTATCCCCTAACCTTACCCATAACCCTATCCCCTAACCTTACCCATAACCCTATCCTCACTCATAACCCTATCCCCTAACCTTACCCATAACCCTATCCCCTAACCTCACCCATATCCCTATCCCCTAACCTTACCCATAACCCTATCCCCTAACCTCATCCATAACCCTATCCACTAACCTCACCCATAACCCTATCCTTACCCATAACCCTATCCCCTAACCCTATCCCTTAACCTTACCCATAACCCTATCCCCTAACCTCACCCATAACCCTATCCCCTAACCTTACCCATAACCCTATCCCCTAACCTCACCCATAACCCTATCCCCTAACCTTACCCATAACCCTATCCCCTAACCTCACCCATAACCCTATCCCCTAACCTTACCCATAACCCTATCCCCTAACCTTACCCATAACCCTATCCCCTAACCTCACCCATAACCCTATCCACTAACCTCACCCATAACCCTATCCCTAGTCCCAGCCTCAGACGTCACACCCACGGACCATTGGCTGAACGTCTGATAAATATGGTACACAAAATGGGAAACACTTCAGGAGTTTTGAATTCTTCGTCATCTGAATTCTACAGGATTTCCTGGAGACTATGTCACAATCTTTAATGATCCACCTGGCATCAAAGCCATCGTGATGCCAAACTCCCTCATGGAAGAGGAAAGCTGTCTTGTTTACAACTGTGACAATGAGCTCTTACCAGGATCAACTAAGGAGGTTCGCATTTCCATTGTTGCAGTAAACTTGCACAACATTCTTGAATGAATAATTTCTTAGATTCATGCTGGTCTGTTATTGTAGGGACATCGACTTTACTCCCCTAAACATGACGCAGAACAAAACGAACTATGATTGGTTGCTTTACATGTCACTCAGACGTCCTTTTTGGAAGTCCTTGGCCAATGAAAGCTGCGATGAAGTCCAGACCTTCTGCTGTCAGTCTGAATGTCTGGATATGTGAGACTACCCTATCCTTAAAAATAAATAGGTCAAGCTCCACCCATTATGTCCAAAGAGGGGGAGCTGGACGTCACTTGGCTCTGTGAGCAATTACTTGCATGTGAATAGCTTGTAAACTATACGGTTATGTTTGTTTTATATTTGTTGCATCTATATCATCTCTTCTCAATTCCTAACATTCTATATCAACATTTGAACGCAATAAATACTAGGCTACATTAAGGTCATTTTAAGACAACATTTGTATGTGTGTGTGTGTGTGTTTAAAGCCTGTCAATCAACATTACAGTGCAAGGTCAACAAGACATCTGCCTAAAGTGAGTTTGTGTGTGTTCAGCGATTAGAATGTAAAACGTACATCACATGATAATCACAATTATATATTAATTATATAATGTTAGCTAGCGCTATGAGCCAGTGACTGCCTCACTTAAATTTACGGTCAGGAGCAGCTACTTTACTCATGAGTGTTTACGTCATCTCCTTAAACACAGTCAAATGTCTGGCTATTATATTGTGTGTGTGTTTAAATTGACAAAGCCACTAAACAGATCTGATTTGGATATGCTCTTCAGCCGTTCTAAGCAAGGCTTGAAAATTGCTTTCTACCACAAAAATCCTTCGTCATTTCTGCATTTTTACTATTTTTGCATGTAGACTAAATTGTACTCATTTTATAGACTATCAATATAACAAAAACTGTATGTATATGAACTCATCTGGCAAATCAGACAAGTATATCAGGTTTAAAACAAACAAGGATTGGAATTTCAGTCAATTTTCTATGCATCGCCTAATTGCACATTGTTTCCATTGTTCTAACAACAATGAAAACTGCAGTAAATGTTTAAATGAGTTGTGGCAATTCCTATTTGCACTGAGCATTAAACCAGGTAGCCCATAACGGTTTAAAGGGTTTTGAGGACACTGGTTTTTACCCCCCGTCACATTTACCTGACCTTGTTCAGAGACGATCAGCCTGTGGATGATGATCAGATCACAGGAGGAGAGATTCTGCCCAATGGAGACAGAACTTACCAGATGAAGAAGAGTTTAGTGATCAGCTATGAAGAACTACGTGAAGGACATAATAGCTTGTTTTCATATGACGTCACGCCACTGCGTTGCCATGGCGCGAAATGCAAATGGAGGGCAGGAAGTGATTTGCTGTATTTAGAAAGCACTATAACAAACTCAAAATGCCTATGTTTTGCGTCGTTTATGGTTTCTTAAATCGATCAAACCACGATGAGTTTTTATCGTGTACCAAAAGTTGTTGTTCATAAGGGGGGAAAATGCAAGAAATTGACCGAAAAACTCCGGAAAAACGGCTTGCAAACCTACGTCTGCGGTCGGGAGGAGCCGAATGGGAAAATACCCGTGTGTGCAGTGATCACTTCGTCAAAGGTGAGTTAATGCAACTTAAGTGGCTATGTTTGTGTAACGTTTCCGAACTTTGTAAAGTCAAAGTATGTCTGTAAGACGAGGTAGTTGCTGATATCTACCGCCTCGATAGCAGGAAAATCTTTAAATTCAGTTGAAAAATCGCTCCTCTTCATAACGTAAGGATCACGTCCAACATATGTTTGATTTTTTGTTTATTTCTTTCTCTTGTAATAGCGTGTAAAGTAGTACAGTACGGACTTTCCTCCATCTCGCCCATTGCGCTCTTCACTCCCTGCCCTCCATCTGAATTTCGCGCGTCATCATAATCACGTGACTGAAACCCAGCTATTACAACTGTACAATGAAGCACCTCAATCTGGACAACAAACTGGACATTACGTTTGGTAAAGAAAAATGTAAAAACACAACAAAGATTAATTTATAAGTATCAATAAATTGGTAGTAATCTGTCAGAGGTACAGTAAACCACCATCATAAAAGTTTACAGATTAAAACGTTTTGTTTTTATTTCTCCCACAATTTCAAATGTGGCTAAATGTGACCCAGGATCCTTCAGTCTTATTAGTGTGTTGGTGTTAATGTGTGGCTGGTATCATTATAACTGCACTCATCATATGGAGGAAGAAGACATGCTGCTGGTAAATGTTACATAGAAAGGCGATAAAAAAAGATCTGATATTCAGTGTGGTAAAGCAACAGCAAAATATCATACTTTAGTGAAAAAGCTAAATCAATCTGTGTTCACCTTATCTAGTCTTCAGGGACGTGCAGAGAGTTCCTCAAGGGCAGGGGCTCAAATGTAAAAAAGGGGCATGTGTGTGTATTGCTCTAAATTGGATATACCTATACTAATATACTTATAACCTTTGATACTTTTTTCAGGATTCTGAGTTTAAAAAGTTACAAAAAGAAAAGTAGGCTATTTATTTAAAATAGAAATCTTTTGTACTAATATCTTCTGTCGTTCAAAAGTTTGGGGTCAGTAATTTTCTTTCTTTCCTACTTTCTTTTTTTTTTTTTTTTTTTAATACTTGTATTCAGCAAAGATGTGTTAAATTCATTTTTAAAAAAGGTGATTGTAAAGACTTATAAAATAATTTATTTTAATTAAATGCTGTTCTTTTTGATCATCAATGAATCCTGAAAAAGTATCATAGGTTCCAAAAAAAAAAAGATATTAAGCTGCACAACTGTTTCCAACACTGATAATAAAGCTTTAGAATGAGTTCTGAAGGATCATGTGACACTGAAGACTGGAG